CCCGCGTCAGCCCGTTCGGTGTTGACCACCTGCAGTGCCCCGCCCACGAGGATCCGGAAGCGGCTGGTGTCCTTCTCTGTGTCGACCTGGTGGGCGTGGGCGTGGCGTGGGAAGGGGAAGGGAAGAGGAGGGGTGGGGAGGGGGAGGAGGGGTGGGGGAGAGGGGGAGAGAGGGGGAGGGAGGGGGAAGGGAGAGGAGGGGGGAGATGAGGGGGAGGGATGGAGGGTGGAGGGTGGAGGGAGGGAGGGGAGGGAGGGGGATGGGGATGGGGGGAGAGGTTGGAGGGGAGGAGGTTGAGGGGGGAGGAGGTTTTGAGGGGGGAGGAGGTAGGGGGGATCGGTGGAGGGTGAGGGTGGGTGGGATGGGGGGGGTGGGTGGGAATGGGGGGGGTTGGAGGTGGAGGGGGGGATGGAGGAGAGGGTGGAGGGAGGGAGGGAAGGAGGGGAAAGGGGAGGGGGTTGGTGGGAGGGGGAGGAAGGGGGAGGAAGGAGGGGGAAGGGAGGGAAGAGGGGAAAGGGAGGGGGTGTGGGTGGAGGAGGGAGGAAGGAGGGGGAAGGGAGGGAAAGGAGGGGATAAGGGGAGGGGGTGCTGGAGGGGGAGGAAGGAGAGAGAGGGGAGGGTAGGAGAGGGAGTGGGAGGGGAGAGAGAGGGAGGGAGGGAGGGCGGAAGGGGGGAGAGGAGGGGAGAAGGGAGGGAGAAGGGTGAGAGAGGACGAGGAGTGGGGAAGGGAGGGAGAAGAGAGGGAGGGAAACAAAAAATAAAATCATTAGCATTTTACTTTCACTATGCAACAAACTCAAGAGAATCCTCATTAAAACATAATAAATAATGAAATGCACATCTATCCTATTCTATCTATCCATCTATCCATCCATCTACTTATCCCATCATCTATCCTCCATCTACTTATCATCTATCTATCTATCCCATCCATCTACTTATCCATCTATCTATCCATCCATCTTCTTATCCATCTATCTATCCACCATCTACTTATCCATCTATCTATCCATCCATTACTTATCCATCTATCTATCATCCATCTTCTTATCCATCTATCTATCTACTTATCCATCTACTTATCCATCTATCTATCCATCCATCTACTTATCCATCTACTTTAAATACCTTCAAGATTTCTTACTTAAATCATTTATGACTTACATTAAATCTAAAATTTACTTTAAATGATATCCTTAGCACCTACTATTAATCTATGTCTTTAAAATATCAAGATTTCTTACTTAAAACATTTATGACTTACATTAAATCTAACAATTATTTTAAATACCCTTAAATTACTTTATTTACTTACTTTAAATGTCTTTAAAATACTAAAATAAGCACCTAAATCTAATTTAAATAGAGACGACCTAAGTTAAGGAAAAAAACGAAAGAAAAACGATAAAATAAAATACGAAAAACTAAAAAAAAAGCGAAAAAAGCCCAGAAACTGAAAAAAACTAAGATACGAAAAGAAACGAAAAAAACGAATAAAAAAGAATAGATAAAACAACTCACATGAAAAACGAAAGAAACGTAAAAAAGACTAGACGAAAAACACCGTCAAAAAACGGATAAAACCTCCAAAAGACAAAGACAAAGACACAAAAAGAGAGAGCAAAAGAAATAGAGAAAGCGAAAAAAAACGAAGTAAAACAAAAGAAAAAAACGAAAGAAAAACAGAAAACTCAAAAACACGAAAAAACGAAAAAAAACGTAAAAAAAACACGAAAAAACGAGAGAGAGAAAAACGAGAAAAACGAAAAAAACGTAAAAAACAAAAAACGAAAAAACAAAAAAAAAAAATAGATAAAACAACTCAACTGAGCCAAGACAAAGACAAAGACACAAAAAGAGAGAACAAAAGAAATAGAGAAAGCGAAAAAAAAAACGAAGTAAACAAAAGAAGAAAAAAACAAACGAAAAATACGAAGAAAAAAAACGAAAGGAAAACAGAAAACCCCAAAACACGAGAAAAACGATAAAAAAACGAGAAAAACGAAAAAAACGAGAACAAAAACACCTACAGAAAGCCCCCAAAACACGAAAAAACGAAAAACGTAAAAAAACGAGAAAACGTAAAAGAAAACACGAAAAAACGAGAAAAAAACAAAAAAACGCAAAAAACGAAAAACGAAAACCAAGAAAAAAACACACACAAAAAACGAGAAAAACAAACAAACAACAAAAAAAAAAAAAAAAAAACTCACCGGGTACCCCTTCCTGTACCAAGAGATGGTAGGCGTTGGCACTCCCTTGGCACGGCACCTCAGGACTGCCACGTCGTTCTCCTGGGCTGTCACCTCGGCGTCAGTGCCAACGATACGGGCGGGAGTGCCGGTCACTGTGGGGACGGGAGGTAGATGTGAGTGGATGGGTAGATAAATGGAGAGATAGAAAGATAAATGGAGAGATAGAGAGATAGATAGATAAATGGAGAGAAGGAAAATGGAGAGAGAGATTAAAGATGGAGAGATGGAGATAAATGGAGAGATAGAGAGATATGGGAGAGAGAGATAAATGGAGAGATAGAAAATGGAGAGATAGAGAGATAATGGAGAGAGAGATAAATGGAGAGATAGAGAGGAGAGAGATAGATAAATGGAGGGGGAGATAGATAGATAAATGGAGGGATAGAGAGATAGGTAGATTAAATGGAGAGATGGGAGAGATAGGGTAGATTAAATAGGGGATGGAGAGATAGGTAGATAAATGGAGAGATGAGGTAGATAAATGGAGAGATAGTAGATAAATGGAGAGATAGAGATAAATGGATAGATAGATAGATAAATGAGATAGATAGATAAATGATAGATAGATAATAGATAGATAGATAAATGAGATGATAGATCGGAGAGATAGTAGATAAATGGAGAGATGGAGAGATAGGTGATGGAGATGGAGAGATGGTAGATAAATAAATGGAGAGATAGGTGATAATGAGAGATAGGTAGATAAATGGAGAGATAGGTAGATAGATAAATGGAAAGATAAGATTAAATGGAGGGATAGAGAGAGAGAGAGAGAGAGATAAATGGAGAATGGAGAGATAGGTAGATAAATGAGAAATGGAGAGATAGGTAGATAAATGGAGAATGGAGAGATAGGTAGATAATGGAGAAGATGGAGAGATAGGTAGATAAATGGAGAGACAGAGATAATGGAGAGATAGAAGAGATAATGGAGAGGGATAGATAGATAAATGGAGAGATGGATAGATAGATAAATGGAGAGATAGATAGATAGATAAATGGAGAGATACGGTAGATTAGATAGAATGGAGAGATGGAGAGATAGGTAGATAAATGGAGAGATGGAAGAGATAGGTAGATAAATGGAGAGATGGAGAGTATAGTAGATAAATGGAGAGATAAGAAATAGATAGATAATATGGAGAAGATTGGAGAGTATATGATAAAGGAGAGATGGAGAGATAAGGTAGATAAAGGAGGATGTGAAGTGGATATAGGAATAAATGGAGCAGATGGAGGAGATAGATAGGATAATGGAGAGATGGAGAGATAGGTAGATAAATGGAGAGATGGAAGATAGATAGAATAAATGGAGAGATAGATAGATGGGTATATAGATAAATGGAGGGGGAAGATATGATAGATAAATGGATAGATATGGAGGATAGAGAGATAAAAGGAGGAGGAGAATAGATAGATAATAGGAGAGAGAGATAAATTGGTAGATAATGGAAAGATAAGGATAGATAAATAGATAAATGGAAGATAGATAGATAAAAGGAGAGATGAGGATAATGGAGAGATGAGAGATAGGTAGTAAATGGAGGGGATAGAGAGATAGGTAATAATGGGGGGGAGATAGATATGAATAGATAGATAAAAAGATTGAGTAATAGGTGATAAATGGAGAGATAGCGAGATAAGGGGGGGAATATGGATAATGGAGGAGAGATAGATATGAATAGATAGAAAAAAGATGTGAGTAGATAGGTAGATAAATGGAGAGATAGAGAGATAAAGGGAGGGAAATATGATAATGGAGGGAGAGATAGATATGAATAGATAGATATAAAAGATGTGAGTAGATAGGTAGATAAATGGAGAGAATAGAGGATAAAGGGAGTGAGAGAGATAAATGGAGAGATAGATAGATAGATGATAGTAAATCGGAGAGATGGAGAGATTGAATAGGTAGATAAATGTGGAGGGGGAGATACCATAAATGGAGATGATAGATAGATAGATAAAGGAGGGAGATAGATAGATTAGGGAGGGGAGATGATAAATGGAGAGAAGAGATTGGTAGATAGAATGAGGGATAAGGATATGAATAGATAGATAAATGGAGGGGGAGATAGATAAATGGAGAGAGATAGATAGATAAATGGAGAGAGAGAGAGATAGATGATAGATAAAGAACAGAGATAGATAGATAGATAAATGGAGAGTATATAAGTGAGATAAAAGGAGGAGAGAGAGATATAGTGAGATAAAGGAGAGAGAGAGAGATATAGTGAGATAAAAAGGAGAGAGAGAGAATATTAGTGAGATAGGAGAGAGAGAGAGAAGATAGTGAGATAAAAGGAGAGAGAGAGATATAGTGAGATAAAAGGAGAGAGAGAGAGATATAGTGAGATAAAAAGGAGAGAGAGAGAGATTAAATATGAATGAGATATTATTAATGGAGAGAGAAGATAAATATGAATAATAGATAAATGGAGAGAGATAAATAGAGAATAGATAGAATGGAGAGAGAGAGAGATAGTAAGAAGATGCGAGAGTAGGTAGATAAATTGGAGAGATTAGAGAAGAGACAATTGAGTATATATATAGATAAAGGAGGGGGAGATAGATAAATGGAGAGAGAAAACGAGGGAGAGAAGGATAGATAGATAAAGTGGAGAGAGAGATAAGATGATGGATAAATTGAGAGATAAAGGATAAATGGGAGAGAGATAGATAGACGGGAGAGATAGATAGATAAATGAGATATGAATGACTAGATAATAGAATGAGAGGATAGATAGAATATAAAGGAGGGATTGAGATAGATCAAATGTTAGAAAATAGATAATACAGATGGAGAAAATAGATGAGAGGTAAATAATGGAGAGACGACAGATAGATTTAATGGGATAGATTAATAAATGGAGAAATAAATAAATAGATAGATAAGAATAAATAGGGATAAATGGAGGAATGGAGGAATGAAGAAATAAATGATAATGTGTACATTCTTATTCCTTATTCTCTCTCACACACACTCACTTTCCCTTTTCTCCTCTCCTTTCCTTCTCCCTTCCTCCTTACTTCCCCTCTCTCTCCCTCTCACTTCCCCCTCCCTCTCTCTCTATCCATCTACCCTCTCCTGACTCACTCCCTTCACTCTCCTCACTCCCTCCTCTCCTCTCCTCCCTCCCTCCTCCCTCCCTTTCTCCCCCTCTCCTCTCTCCCTCCCCCCCCCTCACCTCCCCACTCTCCCCCGCCTCACCTTGGCGGCCGGCGTGGTCACTGGGGGTCGATACGCAGGCACCGCCCCCTCCTCTGGCACCGGACTGGCACAGGAGAAGGCGCAGCCGTTGTGGCAGCACTTCCGGTCGCCGTGGCACCCGGAGTCGTTCTGGCACTCGTCCTGGCACTCGGAGGCGATGGGGCGGAGGCTGGGGGGCAGCGGCCGGGCTTGTTTCACTGGAAAGGAAAAGGGGAAGGGAAAAAGGAAAATGGAAAATTGATGGAAAATGATGGAAATATGAAGAAATGAGGAAAATGATGGAAAACTGAAGGAAAATGATGGGAAATATGATGGAAAAATGAAGGAAAACGAAGAGAGAATGAGGAATAAAAAATAAGAAGAATAAAAAAAGAAATAAGAAAAAAAATCTAAAAAAAGTCCGAAAAAATAAAAATAAAAATCTAAAAAAAAATCCGAAAAAAATAAAAATCTAAAAAAAAAAAAAATCGAAAAATCGAAAAAATAAAAATCTAAAAAAAAAATCCGAAAAAATCTAAAAAAAAAATCTAAAATCAAAGAGAGAGAGAGAGAGAGAGAAAAAGAAAGAAAGAAAGAAAGAAAGAAGAAAGAAAGAAAAAAAAAAACAAGGAACCCACTCTCCGACACACGGCCACCCAGCGGCCGCCGTCCGCCTTGGCCTCCAACCTCAGCAGATCCCCGCGCGACCCCGAGGTCAGGTCAACCGCGCACTGGGTCTCCTCAGGGCACCGCATCCTCTCGCAGGGGTCGTAGCAGGAGCAGACGTGGCACCCGCGGCCGTCCACCGACTTCTGCAGGCCGTAGGGGCACTGTGGGGGGTAATTAGAGGGTAATTAAGGGGTAATTAGGGTGATTAGGGGTAATTAGGGGTGATTAGGGTGATTAGGGTGATTAGGGGTTTAATTAGAGGGTAATTTAAGGGGTAATTAGGGGGTTGGAGGGAATTAGGGTTGGAGGGTAATTAGGAGGTGAAGGTGATTAGGGGTGATTAATTACGGTTGAAGGGGTGATTAGGAGGTTGAAGGGTGATTAGGGAGTTAGGGGTTGGAGAGTAATTAGGGGGTTGGAGGGGGTAATTAAGGGGTGATTAGGGGGTTGAAGGTAATTAGGGGGGTTGGAGGTGGTAATTAAGGGTGGTTAGGGGTTGGAGGGTGATTTGGGGTTAATTAAGGGGTTGAAGGTGATTAGAGGTTGAAGGGTAATTAAGGGGTTGGAGGGTAATTAAGAGGGGAGTTAAGGGGTAATTATGGGTGATTAAGGGGTAATTAGGGGGTTGGAGGGTAATTAGGGGGTGATTAAAGGATTGTAAGGTTGATTAAGAGGGTAATGAAGGAGTCATTAGGGGGTTGGAGGGTAATTAGGGGGTTGAAGGGGTAAATTAAGGGATTAAGGATTGAAGGGTAATTAGGGGGTTGGGAGGATTAAGAAGGGGAGTTAAGGGGTAATTAAAGGGGTGATTGGGGGGTTGGAGGGTAATTAGGGGGGTTGGGTTTGAAGGGGCAATTAAGGGTGATTAGGAGGTTGGAGGTGATTAGGAGATCATTAAGGGGTGATTAGGGGGTTGGAGGGGATAGGGGTATAAGGGTGGAGGGTAATTAGAATAGGGGTTAGGGTAAAAACTATTTAGGGTGGAATTATAATTAAATAAAATCAACAAAGAATTATACAATAATATTAACAATATATAAATAAGCAAGATAAAAAAAAACTTACATTTAAGATTATTTAAAAAATTATTAGTTTTAATTAGGGGGTTGGAGGTAATTAGGGTAATTAAGGGGTGATTAGGGGGGCAATTTCGGTGATTAAAGGGAAGGGGTGATTAGGAAGCTGAGGGTAATTAGGGTAACACAGCGAGATAATTATCTCTTAATCACCCTTATTACTCCTTAATCACTCCCTAATTACTCCTAACCATCCCTAATTACCCCCTTAAACTCCCTATTACCCCTTAAGCCTCCTAATTAATCACTCCTAATTACCTCCTTAAACTTAATCACTCCTAACAAATTAACTCATTATTTAGCTGGCACTCCTAATTATCTCCTTAACAAACAAACAAAAAAAAACAAACAAAAAAACTCACATTTAACAGCTGGCACTCGATCTTCTCCGCCTGGCAGTCCGTGGCACCGCCTGGGCGTGGCACTATGATGGCGTTGGGGTCATGGGTCGTCGTGGGCAGGGCTGAGAGAGGTCAAAGGTTAGGTCAAAAGTTTTTTTTTTATTCATTATTATTCAGATTTATCATCATTATTATTTCATATTTTTATTCATTATCTATTTTTTTTTTTGGGGGGGGGTATGGCTGGGCACTTATTTATTTCTTCTTTTTATTTATTATTTTTTATTATTTATCTTCCTTTTTATTCATTATTATTCAGATTTATCGTCATTATTATTTCATTATTTTTATTTATTATTTATCTTTTATTATTGTTATTTTTTTTTATTATTATATTATTTAATATATATTTTTTGGGGGGGGTATGGCTGGGCACGAGAAAGGTCAAAAGTATTTTTTTTTTCTTGTCGTTTATCTCATCATTATCGGTATTATTTTCATAGTGTTTCACTTACTCATTTATCGATTTTTCTCATTATCATCCTCTTTATTATTTTATCGATTTTTCTCATTACTACATTATAATAATATAATAATAATAATATTATTATTAGGGGGTAAAGCTGGGCACAAAGAGAGGTCGAGAAAGGTCAAAGGTCATTTCTTTGTATATAGATCTCTCATTATCTATCCATCGCCTTTTGGGGGGTGGGGGTGGGGGTAGTGGTATGATGAGGTGGTGATTGTGGTGCTGATGGTGATGGTGATGGTAAAGCTATGTTAATTAATAAAATAAATATTAATACGTTAAAGACATTACAAAGCAAATGTTATTTCATGATGCAAAGCAGAGAGAGAGAGAGAGAGAGAGAGAGGGAGAGAGAGAGAGAGAAGAGAGAGAGAGAGAGAGAGAGAGAGAGAGAGAGAGAGAGAGAGAGAGAGAGAGAGAGAGAGAGAGAGAGAGAGAGAGAGAGAGAGAGAGAGAGAGACAGAGAGAGAGAAGAGAGAGAGACAGAGAGAGAGAGAGAGAGAGAGAGAGAGAGACAGAGAGAGAGACAGAGACGAGACAGAGACAGAGAGAGAGAGAGAGAGAGAGAGAGAGAAGAGAGAGAGAGAGAGAGAGAGAGAGAGAGAGAGAGAGAGAGAGAGAGAGAGAGAGAAGAGAGAGACAGAGAGAGAGAGAGAGAGAGACAGAGAGAGAGAGAGACAGAGAGAGAGAGACAGGAGAGAGAGAGAAGAGAGAGGGAGAGACAGAGACGAGAGAGAGAGAGAGAAGAGAGAGAGAGAGGAGAGAGAGAGAGAGAGAGAGAGAGAGAGAGAGAGAGAGAGAGAGAGAGAGAGAGAGAGAGAATAGAGAGAGAGAGAGAGACAGAGAGAGAGAGAGAGAGAGAGAGAAGAGAGAGAGAGAGAGAGAGAGAGAGAGAGAGAGAGAGGAGAGAGAGAGAGAGGAGAGAGAGAAGAGAGAGAGAGAGAGAGACAGGGGAGAGACAGAGAGAGAGAGAGAGAGAGAGAGAGAGAGAGAGAGAGAGAGAGAGAGAGGAGAGAGAGAAGAGAGAGAGAGAGAGAGAGAGAGAGAGAGGGGGGGGAAAGAGAGAGAAAGAGAGAGCAAGAAAGAAAAAGAAAAGAAAGAAAGAATAAAGCAAGAAAGAAAAGAAAGAAAAGAAAGATAAAGCAAGAAAGAAAAAGAAGATAAAGAAGAAAGAAAAAGAAAGAAAAGAAAGATAAAGCAAGAAAGAAAATGAAAGAAAAGAAAGAAAGAGAGAAAGCGACTGAGAGAGAAATAGAGAAAGATAAATAAACAAAGACAACACCAAAAAGAACAAAAAACAACAACAAAAACACAACAAAAAACAAAAGATTAAAACCTAAAATTCTTAAAAAAAAAAAAATCTCTAACTCCAACCAAAAATTCTTCTAATTCTAAATTCTAAACCTCACTTGAGACTCACACCCGTACATTATAAACTTCTAACTCCTTCTAAAATGCTTCTCGATTCTCTCAACTGCTCCCGACTCCACCAAAAAAAGATCTAATTCTAAATTCTAAACCTACTTGCCACTCACCCACCCTATACTATAAACTCCTTGAAAAACTATGTCCGCCGTTTTCTAACTCCTTCTAAAATGCTTCTTAATTCTCTCAACTGCTCCTAACTCCACCAAAAAAGATCTAATTCTAAATTCTAAACCGACAGACTACTCGTGGAGAAACCGACGCAGGAAAAGTTCCCGCTAAAGGGTTCTCAATTCCCTTAACGGTTTCTAAAGCGATCCAATCCTCTTCTGGATCTAAATTTAATGCGAGATGCACATCCGCTATACTACTCGATGGTTGCAGATATAGACAAAGGAATTTAACTGTTTGAAGCGATTAGAGACCCCTTCCCAACTGCCAATACACTTAGAAAACTTTTCTAAATTGCCAATACACTTCTAAAAGCTTTTCTAAATGCTTCTAAGTTCTTCCAACTCCACCTAAACCTTCTATTTCTAAATTCTCAACCTTACTCGAGACTTACATCACACTGCTCGTTGGCCGCGGAGCAGAAATCGACCACAGGAACCGAACTCCTTGAAGCGGCTGAGGTCCCCTTCCTAACTGCTTCTTTACCTGCCTCTCAATTCTCTAGACAACCCTCTTTAATTTCTAAATTCTAAACCCCACTCGAGACTCATTCCCTACACCACTCGAATGGCCACGGAGCAGAAATCAACGCAGGAATTGAACTCCTTGAAGCGGCTGAGTGCCCCTTCCTAAATCCCAATACACTTCTAAATGCTTTTCAGTTGTCTCAACCGTTTCTGACTCCAAACAACCCTCTCCTATTTCTAAATTCTCAACCCAAATCGAGACTCACCCCACTCGTGACATACACCCCCTGTACTGCTCGACAGCTGCGGAGTAGAAATCGATGCAGGAATTGAACTTGTTGACGCAGCTGAATGCCCCTTCCTGAATCCTAATACACTTCTAAAGGCTTTTCGCTTCTCTCAACCGTTTCCAACTCCAGCAAAACCGTCCAACTCTAAATTCTCAACCCCATGCGAGACTCACATCCCCTGTACTGCTCGACAGCCACGGAGCAGAAATCGACGCAGGAATTAAAACTTTTTGAAGCGGCTGAGTGCCCCTTCCTAAATCCCAATACACTTCTAAATGCTTTTCGCTTCTCTCAACCGTTTCTAACTCCAGCAAAACCGTCCAATTCTAAATTCTCAACCCCACTCGTGACTCACATCCCCTGTACTTCTCCACAGCCGCGGAGCAGAAATCGACGCAGGAATTGAACTTTCTGACGCAGCTGAGGTCCCCTTCCTGAATCCCAATACACTTCTAAATGCTTTTCGCTTCTCTCAGCCATTTCTAACTCCAACAAAACTGTCCAATTCTAAATTCTCAACCCCACTCGTGACTCACATCCCCTGTACTGCTCGAATAGCCACGGAGCAGAAATCAACGCAGGAATTAAAACTTTTTTGAAGCGGCTGAGGTCCCCTTCCTAAATCCCAATACACTTCTAAATGCTTTTCGGTTCTCTCAACTGTTTCTGACTAAAGCAAAACCGTCCAATTCTAAATTCTCAACCCCACTCGTGACTCACATCCCCTGTACTGCTCGACAGCCACGGAGCAGAAATCGATGCAGGAATTAAAAATTTTTGAAGCAGCTGAGTGCCCCTTCCTAAATCCCAATACACTTCTAAATGCTTTTCGCTTCTCTCAACCGTTTCTAACTCCATCAAAACCGTCCAATTCTAAATTCTCAACTCCGCTCGTGACTCACATCCCCTGTACTTCTCCACAGCCGCGGAGCAGAAATCGACGCAGGAATTGAACTTTTTGAAGCGGTTCAGGTTCCCTCCGCAGCCTCCGTAGGTGAAGGGAACGCAAGTGCCTTCCTCCTTCGAGAAATGCCAGCGCTTGTAACCGTCCGAACAAGGGCCTGGATCTGCTTCCATTTCGCAGATCACTGGGAGATGAGTCGGAACAGGGGGGTAGATTAGATGGCTGGATTAGGGTAGATTAAGGTAGATCTGGGTAGATTAGATGAGTGGATTAGGGTAGATCTGGGTAGATTAGATGAGTGGATTAGGGTAGATCTGAATAGATTAGATGAGTGGATTAGGGTAGACTAGATAAGTGGATTAGGGTAGACTAGTGGCTGGATTAGGGTGATTAAAGTAGATCTGGGTAGATTAGATAAGTGGATTGGGTAGATCTGGGTAGATTAGATGAGTGGATTAGGGTAGCACTAGGTAGATTAAGGTAGATCTGGGTAGAATAGATGAGTGGATTAGGGTAGATCTGAATAGATTAGATAAGTGGATTAGGGTAGATCTGAATAGTTTAGATGAGTGGTAGATTAGATGAGTGGATTAGGGTAGATCTGGGTAGATTAAGGTAGATTATATGGTTGGATATTAGATGGGTAGATAGGAAGAGGGTAGATAATCGTTGGTAGATCACTGGGAGACGAGTCGGAACAGGGGGGGTAGATTAGATGGGTGGATTAGGGTAGATAAGGGTAGATCTAGGTAGATCATATACTTGGATAATAGATGGACAGATAGGAAGAATGATTGGTAGATCACTGGGAGGCGACTTGGAGAAGGGGGTAGATTAGACGTGTGGATTAGGGTAGATGAGGGTAGATTTGGGTAGATTAAGGTAGATTAAATGGGAGGATAATAGATGAATAGACAGGAAGAAGGTAGAGAATTGTTCGCAGATTAAGGTACATTAAAAGGAAGATTAGATTTATAGGTAGATTAAAAATAGATTAGAAGATATATTAAAAGGGAGATTAAAATGGATTAGTTGGGTAGATAAAAGTAAACTAGAATAAATTAGATTAAATCAAATCATTCACCAAATCAAATTAATTAGATTATTAATAAAAAAAACTAGCAATACAAACTAAAAATTATTAAATCAAATTATTAAATTTAACTAAATTAAAGAAGACATACGACAAGCAGTTAAAATTAAACTAAAAATGAGGAATCAGATTTAAAAAAAGTTTAAAAAATCAGATTTTAAAAAGTTTAAAACTAACCATCAGTTTCAATAGTTTAAAATTATTGAAGCTGGTGGTTAAAAATATTTTTTTTTAAGGTATCTATTCCAAACCAATTTTCACTTAAATCTAAACTTAAAACCAGAACTTATATTTAAAATTATTGAAGCTGGTGGTTAGAAAATATAGTTTTTAAAGTATCCATTCCAAATTGATTTAAAATGGCATTCACACGTGACTTTAAACTTAATTCTAGGTATGTTTAAAACCTTATTCAGAAAAAAAACAATATGGATTTTCTCCCTCCCATAAGCTGAAAAAAATGAAAAATTAACAAATAAAAATAGATATAAGAAAATGCCCCATTTAAAACAAATAAAAAATGAAAAATATGACTATATATAATAAAATGAAAACATAAAAGAATTGAAGAAAATAAACCAGTTTTTTTTCTCTCACCCATAAACTAAAAGTTTCTTCTCCCTCCAATAAAAAAACAATTTAAGTTTTTTTTCCCCTAAACTAGATATAAAAGGTTTCTTCCTTATATAAACTAACAAAAATATGTTTTTTTTTTATATACTCCCTTCTTCCTTTCTCCCTTTTCTTCCCTCATTCTCCCTTATATCTCTCATTTCCTTTATCTCCATATCTCCCTCTCCCTCCTTATCTCCCTTTCTCCCTCTCCTTCCTCATCTCCCTTTCTTCCTCTCTCACCCCTTCTTCCTTCTCCCTTTCTGCCTTCTCTCTCCTCCCTCTTACCTCTCTCCCTTACTTATATTAGCGTCCTACTCTCCCTTCCTCCTCTTTTCACCCCCTTTTTCCATCCTCTTCTCTCTCCTCCTATCTTCCTTCACATTCTTTCTCCCTTCTCATTTGACCCTTTTTTCCCCCTTCTCTTCTCCTCTCCTCTCTCATTCCCCCCTATTTCACTCTTTCTTTTCTCTTTCTCCCACCCTCTAACCCTTCTATCCTTATTTTCTCCCTTCTCCATCTCTCCTCTTCTTTCCTCCCTCTCTCTTACGCTTCTCCCTTCCTTATCTCCTCCTCCTCCTCCCTTCTTCCCTCCTCCTCTCCCTCTCCTCTTCTAATCCTTGCCTCCCTCCCTCTCTTTCTCTTCTCTTCTCTTCTTTCTCTCCCGTCCCTCCTCCCTCTCTCTTCTTCCCTCTCCCTCCTCTCTTTCTTCTTCTCCTCCCTCTTCTCCCTTTTATTTCTTCCTACTTCTTTCCCTCTCCCTCTTCTCCTTTCACCCCTTTCCTTCCCTTCTCTCTCCCTCCTCCTCTCCTCTCTTTCTTTCCCCCTCTCCCCTTTCTTCCTTCTCTTCTTCCCTTATTTCTCCCTATCTCCCTCTCCCCTTATCTCTTCTTTCTCTCCCTCTCCCTTATTTCTCCCTTTCTCCCTTACTCGTATTAGCTTCCAAGGTGTGTCATTCCCTCTCGGCAAGATGGTGTCATGGTAGACACACACAGCCTCGCACTCCTCCCTTCTTTCTCCTTCCCTTCCTCCTCCCTCCCTTACTTCCCCCTCTCTCTAATTCTCCTTCCTCCTCCCTCTGTCCCTCCTCTCTTCTTTCTCCCTCTATCCCTTCTTCCTCCTCCCTTTATCCCTTCTTCCTCCCTCCCTCTCCTCCTTTTTTATTTCTCCCTTTCTTCCTTCCCTTCTCTCGCCTTCCTCCCTCCCTCTACCTCTCTCCTCCTCCCTCCTCCCTTCTTTCTCCCTCTCTCTCCTTTCTTCCTCCCTCCTCCTCTCCTTTTCTACCTCTCTCCCTCCTCTCTTCTTCCCTATTTCTCCCTCCTCCTCTCCTTCCTCCCTCCCTCCCTCTCCCCTTATCCTTCTTTCTCTCCCTCTCCCCCTCCCTTATTTCTCCCTTTCTCCCTTACTCGTATTAGCTTCCAAGGTGTCATTCCCCCTCGGCAAGATGGTGTCATGGTAGACACACCCAGCCTCGCACTCCTCCCTTCTTTCTCTCCTTCCTTCCTCCTCCCTTACTTACTTCCCCCCTCTCTATTCTCCTTCCTCTCCCTCTATCCCTTCTTTCTTGCCGCCCACTCCTCTTTTTTTCTTTTCTCCCTCTCTCCCTTCTTTATCTTCTGTCTCCCTCCCTCCCTCCTCTCTTCTTTCCCCCCCTACCTCTCTCCCTTACTTTTCTCCCTATCTCCCTCTCCCCTTATCTCTATTTCTCCCTCTCCCTCTCCCTTATTTCTCCCTTTCTCCCTTACTCGTATTAGCTTCCAAGGTGTCATTCCCCCTCGGCAAGATGGTGTCATGGTAGACACACACAGCCTCGCATTCCTCCCTTCTTTCTCCTTCCCTTCCTCCTCCCTTACTTACTTCCCCCTCTCTCTATTCTCCTTCCTCCTCTCTCTTTCTCCCTTTCTTCCTTCCCTTCTCTCGCCTTTTCCTCCCTTACTTCTCCTCTCCTTTCTCCCTTTCTTCCTTTCCCTTCTCTCGCCTTCCTCCCTCCCTCCCTCCTCTCTTCTTCCCTTTTATTCCTCCCTCCCTCCTCTCTCCCGTATCTCTTCTTTCTCTCCCTCTCCCTCTCCCTTATTTCTCCCTTACTCGTATTAGCTTCCAAGGTGTCATTCCCTCTCGGCAAGATGGTGTCATGGTAGACACACACAGCCTCGCACTCCTCCCTTCTTTCTCCTTCCCTTATCTCCCTTACTTACTTCCCCCTCTCTCTATTCTCCTTCCTCCTCCCTCTGTCCCTCCTTTCTTCTTTCTCCCTCTATCCCTTCCTCCTCCCTTCTTTCTCCCTCTCTCTCCTTTCTTCCTCCTCCTCCTCTCCTTCCTCCCTCCCTCCCTCTCCCCTTATCTCTTCTTTCTCTCCCTCTCCCTCTCCCTTATTTCTCCCTTTCTCCCTTACTCGTATTAGCTTCCAAGGTGTCATTCCCCTCGGCAAGATGGTGTCATGGTAGACACACACCGCCTCGCACTCCTCCTTCTTTTCTCCTTCCCTTCCTCCTCCCTCCCTTACTTCCCCCTCTCTCTATTCTCCTTCCTCTCCCTCTGTCCCTCCTCTCTTCTTTCTCCCTCTATCCTTCTTCCTCCCTTTATCCCTTCTTCCTCCCTCCCTCTCCTCCTTTTTTCTTTCTCCCTTTCTTCCTTCCCTTCTCTCGCCTTCCTCCCTCCCTCTACCTCTCTCCTCCCTCCCTCCTCTCTTCTTTTCTCCTCTCTCTCCTTTCTTCCTCCCCTCCTCCTCTCCTTTTCTACCTCTCTCCCTCCTCTCTTCTTCCCTATTTCTCCTCCTCCTCTCCTTCCTCCCTCCCTCCCTCTCCCCTTATCTCTTCTTTCTCTCCCTCTCCCTCTCCCTTATTTCTCCCTTTCTCCCTTACTCGTATTAGCTTCCAAGGTGTCATTCCCCCTCGGCAAGATGGTGTCATGGTAGACACACACAGCCTCGCACTCCTCCCTTCTTTCTCCTTCCCTTCCTCCTCCCTTACTTACTTCCCCCTCCCTCTATTCTCCTTCCTCCTCCCTCTATCCCTTCTTCTTGCCGCCCACTCCTCTTTTTTTCTTTCTCCCTCTCTCCCTTCTTTACCTTCTGTCTCCCTCCCTCCCTCCTCTCTTCTTTCCCCCCCTCTACCTCTCTCCCTTACTTCCTCCCTATCTCCCTCTCCCCTTATCTCTTATTTCTCCCTCTCCCTCTCCCTTATTTCTCCCTTTCTCCCTTACTCGTATTAGCTTCCAAGGTGTCATTCCCTCTCGGCAAGATGGTGTCATGGTAGACACACACAGCCTCACATTCCTCCCTTCTTTCTCCTTCCCTTATCTCCCTTACTTACTTCCCCCTCCCTCTATTCTCCTTCCTCCTCTCTTCTTTCTCCCTTTCTTCCTTCCCTTCTCTCGCCTTCCTCCCTTACTTCCTCCTCTCCTTTCTCCCTTTCTTCCTTCCCTTCTCTCGCCTTCCTCCCTCCCTCCCTCCTCTCTTCTTTTCCTCTCTCCCTCCTCCCTTCTCTCCTTTCTCCCTCACCCTTATTTCTCCCTTTCTCCCTTCTCTCTCCCTTACTCGTATTAGCTTCCAAGGTGTCATTCCCTCTCGGCAAGATGGTGTCATGGTAGACACACACAGCCTCGCATTCCTCCTGTGTTGAAAATCTGTTGCTGTTTCCTTTGCAACCGCTGTAGGCAAAGGGCTTGCAACGCCTCTCATAAGGGTCATGGTACCACTTCCTGAAGGAGCCGTTGCAGGGGCCTGAGGTCGGTTGCAAGTTGCAGGAGTCTGCAAGGTTTTGAGAAAGGGGGGCGGGGTTGGGTCGAATTTTTTTTTTTTTTTTTTTTTTTGAGTTTTTTTTGTGTGTGGAGATATTGTTTTTTTTATTTATTATTATTATTTTATTATTATTATTATTATTTATTATTATTATTATTATTATATTATTATTATTATTATTATTATTATTATATTATTATTATTATTATTATTATTATATTATTATTATTATTATTTTTAGATTTTTTTTGTGTGTGGAGATGTTTTTTTTTATTATTTTTTTTTAATTTGTTTATTATTATTACTTTTTTTTTTTTTAGATATATTGGGTTATAAGGTTGGTTAGTCTATTTTATTTTATTTAGCTTAACATATTTATCATATAAGAATGTAATATTTTTAGTATATACCTTTTTATGTTTTATGAACAATATCTATTTTGATAAATATATCAAACTAAATAGTTTTTTTATCATTTAATGTTATAACATACTAATATACATATTAATTTAGTTTAATATACTTATCACAAAACTATGAAACAAACAAATTATTATCATTATTATTAGTATTATCATTATTATTTTTATTATCATCATTATCATTATTATCTTTTTTATCATCATTATCATTATCATATTTTTTTATCATCATCATTATCATATTAATCTTTTTTTATCATCATCATTATTATTATTATTATTTTTTATCATCATCATTATATTATTATTTTTTATTTATCATTATCATTATCATTTTATTATCCATCATTATCATATTATCTTTTTTATCATCATCATTATCATTATTATCTTTTTTTATCATCATCATTATCATTATTATCTTTTTTTTATCATCATCATTATCATTATTATATTTTTTATCATCATTATCATCTTTTTTATCATCATTATCATCATTATTATCTTTTTTACATCATTATCTTATTATCTTTTTATTATCATATTATCATTATTATCTTTTTTATCATCTATCACTATCCATATTATCTTTTTTATTATCATTATTATCATCATTATTATCTTTTTTATCATCATCATTATCATTATTATCTTTTTTTTATTATCATTATTATCTTTTTCTATCATCATCATTATCATTATTATCTTTTTTATCATCATTATCATCATTATTATCTTTTTTTATCATCATCATTATCATTTTTATCATTTTTATCTTTTTTATTATCATATCATTATTATTACAACAATTTTGAAAACAATTTTGATAAATATTCTGATTATCAATTTTCAATCTCGTGTTTTTTTTTGTGATAAGTATTTCAAACTAAATTACTCAGTTAATTAAAATATCAGACTAAATTAAGTTTAATTAACTATCTACCATCAAATTAATATCACAATGCAATTAATTATCATTACTTATTATTACTATTATTATCATCATTATTATTATTATCATCATTACTATTAATTATTATTAATTGCCATACCTGTTAATTAAGGATTAGATTAGAAATTAGATTATAAGAATTAAAATCATCATCATTACTATTAATTATTATTAATTGCCATACCTGTTAATTAAGGAGTTGCTTTTAGATTATAAGAATTAATAAGAAAGTTAAATGAATTAATTTGATAAAGACGTAAAAATTGCGTGAAGGAATAATTATCTAATTAAATAATTAAAAGGTTTTGATACTCTGTGAGGGATGCATGTGAAGAGGAATGTGGGCGTGGTTTTTTTTTTTTCTCTCTCTCTCGTTCTTTTTCTCCTCTTCTCTCTCGTTATTCTCGCTCTTTCTCTCCCTTTCTCTCTCTCTCTCTCTCTCTCTTCTCTCGTTCTTTTTCTCGCTCTTTCTCTCTCTCTCTCTCGTTCTTTTTCTCGCTCTTTCTCTCTCTCTCTTCTCGTTCTTTTTCTCGCTCTTTCTCTCTCTCTCGTTCTTTTTCTCGCTCTTTCTCTCTCTCTCGTTCTTTTTTCTCGCTCTTTCTCGCTCTTTCTCTTCTCTCTCTCTCGTTCCTTTTTCTTCTTTTCTCTCTCTCTCTTCTCGTTCTTTTTCTCCTCTCTCTCTCTCTTCGTTCTTTTTCTCGTTTTTTCCTCTCTCTGTCTCGTTCTTTTTCCCGCTCTCTCTCTCTCTTCGTTCTTTTTCTCGCTCTCTCTCTCTCCCTCTCGTTCTTTTTTCTCGCTCTTTTTCTCTCTCTCTCGTTCTTTTTCTCGCTCTCTCTTCTCTCTCTCGTTCTTTTCTCGCTCTCTCTCTCTCTCTCTCTCGTTCTTTTTCTCGCTCTTTCTCTCTCTTCTGTCTCGTTTCTTTTCTCGCTCTCTCTCTCTCTCGTTCTTTTTCTCGTTTTTTTCTCTCTCTGTCTCTTTCTCTCTCTCTCGCTAGTTCTTCTTCTCGCTCTTTCTCTCTCTCTCTGTCTCGTTCTTTCCTCGCTCTTTCTCTCTCTCTCTCGTTCTTTTTCTCGCTCTTTCACTCTCTCTCTCGTTCTTTTTCTCGCTCTTTCTCTCTCTCTCTCGTTCTTTTTCTCGCTCTTTCTCTCTCTCTCTCTCGTTCTTTTCCTCGCTCTTTCTCTCTCTGCTAGTTCTTCTTCTCGCTCTCTCACTCTCTCTCTCTCGCTCTTCTTTTTCTCGCTCTTTCTCTCTCTCTCTCGTTCTTTTCTTCTTTCTCTCTCTCTCTCTGTTCTTTTCCTCGCTCTTCTCTCTCGCTAGTTCTTCTCTCCGCTCTCTCTCTCTCTCGTTCTTTTTCTCGCTCTTTCTCTCTCTCTCTCTCGTTCTTTTTTCGCTCTTCTCGTTCTTTTTCTCGCTCTTTCTCGTTCTTTTTCTCACTCTTTCTCTCTCTATTTCTCTCGCTCTTTCTCTCTCTCTCTCTCTCTCCTCCTCCTCCTCCTCTTCTCCCTCATTTTTCTCTCCTTTCCCCTCCCTCCCTTTTCCCTCCCTCCTTCCTCTCCCTTTCCCTCCCTCTCCTCTCCCTCCTCCCTCTCACCTTGATTCCTATACTCGCCACACTGTCTCTGGCACATCTCAGCAGAAATGAACCGATTGGCGTTTCCCCTGCATCCTCCGTACGAGAAGCCGACACACCGGTTGCTGCGGGAGTCGTAGTAGAACCTCGGCAGCGCCCCTCGACACGGTCCGACCTCCACCGGTTGCAGGCACATCTCGGGCAGGGCCACGCGAGGGTCTGTGGGCACGGGATGGGTTTTAGAGGTTGGCGGGGTGGTCCCTCTCTCTCCCTGTGCCCTCTCTACCTCCTTCCTCACTCTCTCCCTCTCCTTCTCTCTCTCCATTTCTCCTTCCAACTATCTCTCTCTCCTTCTCCTCCTCTCTCTCTCTCTCCATTCTCCACCCTTTCTCCTGTCCCTGTCCCTTCTCCTACCTCCATCCCCTCTCTTCCTCTCCTTCTTCCTCTCTCTCTCCATTCTCCCCTCTGCCTGTGCCTCTCCTACCTCCTTCCCCTCTCTCTCCCTTCTCCTCTCTCTTCCCTCTCTATTCTCCTTCTCTGCCTGTGCCTCTCCTACCTCCTTTCCTCACTCTCTCCTCTCCTTCTCCTCTCTCTCTCCATTCTCCCTCTCTGCCTGTGCCCTCCCCTACCACCTTCCTCACTCTCTTCCCTCTCCTTCTCTCTCCCTCTCTAATTCTCCCTCTCTGCCTGTGCCTCTCCTACCTCCTTCCCCTCTCTCCTTCTCCTTCTCCTCTCTCTCTCCATTCTTCCCTCTCTGCCTGTGCCTCTCCTACCCCTTCCCCTCTCTCTCCCTCTCCTTCTCTCTCTCTCCATTCTCCCTCTCTGCCTGTGCCTCTCCTACCTCCTTCCCCTCTCTCTCCCTCTCCTTCTCTCTCCCTCTCTATTCTCCTTCTCTGCCTGTGCCTCTCCTACCTCCTTCCCCTCTCTCTCTCTCCTTCTCCTTTTCTCCCTTCTCTTCTCTCCTCTGCTGCCTGTGTCTCTCCTACCTCCTTCCTCACTCTCCTACCTCCTTCCTCACTCTCCTTCTCCTTTTCTCTCTCTCCATTCTCCCTCTCTGCCTGTGCCTCTCCTACCTCCTTCCTCACTCTCCTTCTCCTTCTCCTCTCTCTCTCTCCATTCTCCCTCTTGCCTGTGCCTCTCCTACCTTCCTTCCCTCTCTCTCTCCCTCTCCTTCTCCTTTTCTCTCTCTCCATTCTCCCTCTCTGCCTGTGCCTCTCCTACCTCCTTCCTCACTCTCTCTCTCCTACCTCCATCCTCACACTCTCTCTCTCCATTCTCCTTCTCCTCTCTCCCCTCCTCCCCTCTACCCTTTCCATTCCACACCCCCTACCCTCCCAACCCCTCCTCCCTCTACCCTTCCTCCTCCCGTTCACCCCTCACCCCCTTCCTCCTCACCCCCTCTCCCCCACCCTCTTTCCCTCCCTCCCCCTCTCCTCCTGCCCCACCCACCTTCGACGTCGTGTCCGCGTCACCGTTGACAAGTATCGTCTGGGAGCAGTGTTGTCATCGTCGTCGTCTTCGGACCCCCTCGTTGGCAACGCTGCTGGCACAGGCGGAGCGAGTCGAATCTGGAAGAAGGGAAATAAGGGTGATAAAGGGTGATATGAGGGAGAGTGAAGAAATAAGGGTGATAAATGTTGATAAATGGTGATGAAGGAAGGAAAGTGAAGGAAATGATGAAAAAATTATATAGGAAGAAAGTGAAGGAAATAATGAATAATAATAGGAAGAAAGTGAAGGAAATAACGATAATAATAGGAAGAAAGTGAAGGAAATAATGATGATAATAGGAAGAAAGTGAAGGAAATAATGATAACGGTGAAAATGACGGGTGATAAATATGACGACAATAGGAAGAAAGCGAAGGAAGGAATACGGAATGAATAAAGATTATAATAATCTCACCCTCTCCCTCTCTCCCTCTCCCGTTTCCTCCCCCCCGTCTCTCTCTCTCCTTCTCATCTGTTCGTCATTATCCTTGACATCCTTCCATAGTCGAATTCAACAGCCACATTGGTCCCATCTCTCTCTCTCTCTCCTCTCTCTCTACTCTATGCTTTATCCCTCTCGCTCTCTCTCTCGCTCTCTCTTCTCTCTCTCCTCTTCCCTCTCTCGTCTCTTTCTCTCCCTCGCCTCTCACCCTCTGTTTCTCTCTCTCTATCTTGTATCCCCTCGCTCTCTCTCTCCCTTCTCCCTCACACCTGATTCCTATTTCCTTGACAGCCTCCTAAGCCGTAACTCGAAGCGTGGGGTCCCTCTCTCTCTCTCTTTATCCTCTCTCTCTCTTTCCCCCCCCCGGCCCTCTTCACCCTCGCTCTCTCCTTTCCCCCTCTCTCTTTCTCCCTCTTCCCTCTCTCTCACGTTTCTGTTCCCTCTGACATCTCATAGCCGACTCGAAGACCCCCCCCCCCAAAAAAAACTGGTCTCTGTCTCTCTCTCTCTCCTTCTCTCCTTCTCTCTCTCTCCCTATCCCCCTCACCCTCCCACTCTCTCTCTCTGCTCTCTCTCTCTCCTTCACCCTCCCCTCTCTTTCTTTCTCCCTAATCTCCTTATTACTCTCTCCTGTTCCCTTGACATCCTCCAATAGATCGGAACTCGACAGCACTGGTCCCTCTCTTCTCTCTCTCTCTCTCTCTCTCTCTCTTCTCTCTCTCTTCTCCTCGCTCTTCTCTCTCTCTCTCACTCTCCTCTGCTCTCTCTTATCTTTTACCTCGTCACCCTCTCCTTCCTTTCTATCATTCCTTATCCTTCCTCTCTCTCTCCCTCTCCTGCCTTCTCCCTCTCTCACCTGTTCTCCTATTTCCGTTGATTATCTCCATTAGTCCGAACTCGAAGCACTGGTCTCTCTCTCTCTCTCTCTCTCTCCTTCTATTCTCTATCTATCTACTTTATCCCTCTCTCTCTCTCTCTCTCTCCCTCTCTCTCTCACCTTGTTCCTATATCTTGACAGCCCTCCATAGTCGGAACTCGCAAGCACTGGATCCCTCTCTCTCTTCTCCCTCTCTATCTATTATTTACCCTCTTCCTTCCCCCCCCTTCTCTCTCTCCCTCTCCCTCTCCCTCTCTCGGCTCATTCTCTTACTCTCTCTCACCTCTTCCTATTCCTTGACTCTCCATAGTCGAACTCGAAGCACTTGTTCACCTCTCTCCCTTCTCTCTCTCTATCTATATTGTATCCCCTCTCCTTCCCCCCCCCTCTCTCTCTTCTCTCTCGCTCTCCTCTCTTTCGGCCCTCTCCCTCTTCCCTCCTCCCTCTCCCCATTCTCTTTCTCTCTCTCCTGTTTCCCATATTTCCTTGACACCCTCCGTAGTCGAAAACTCGAAGCACTGGTCTCTCCTCTCTCTCTCCCCTCATCATCTATCTTTATCTCCCTCCCTCCCTTCTCTCTCTCTCCCTATTCCCTCTCCTTCCCCCCCTCCTCTTTCTTCACCTCTCCCTCTCCCTCATCCTTCTCACCTGTTCCTATTTCCTTGACAGCCTCCATAGTCGAACTCGAAGCACTGGTCCCTCTCTCTCTCTCTCTTCCCTTCTCCATCTATTTGATCCCTCTCCTTCCCCCCCCCTCTCTCTCTCTCTCTTTCTCCTTCCCTCTCTCCTCCTCCCTCTCCATCATTCTCTTTCTCTCTCTCACCTGTTCCTATTTCCTTGACAGCCTCCATAGTCGAACTCGAAGCACTGGTCCCTCTCTCTCCTCCTTCTATCTCTCTCATCCCTCTCTATCTATCTTTATCCTCTCCCTCTCCTTCCCCTCCCCTCCCTCTCTCCCCTCATTCTCTTTCTCTCTCTCACATGTTTTTCCTTTGCAGCCTCCGTAGTCGAACTCGAAGCATGCGTCCCTCTCTCTCTCTCTCTCTCTCTCCCTTTCTCCATCTATATTTATCCCTCTCTTTCCCCCCCCCCTTCTCTCTCTGCTTTCTCTCTCTCTCTCTCTCTCTCCCTCTTTTCTCCCTCTCTCTCTTATCTCACCTTCTCCCTCTCTTGTCTCCTCTCCCTCTCTTCCTCCCTTCCCTTCTCCTTCTCTCACCTGTTCTATTCTTGACATCCTCCATGTCGAACTCGAAAGCACTGCTCTTCTCTCTCTCTCTCTCCTTCTATCTCTCTCTCTCTTATCTTCTCTCTATCTCTCTCTATCTCTCTCTCTCTCTCTTCGTCTCTCTCTCTTCGTCTCTCTCTCTTCTCTATCTCTCTCTCTCTTCTCTCTCTCGGCTCTCTCTCTCTCTCTCTCTTCTTCTCTCTCTTCTCTCTTCTCTCTCTCCTCTCTCTTCTCTCTCTCTCTCCTCTCTCTCTCTCTATCTCTCTCTCTCTTCTCTATCTCTTCTCTCCTCTTCGCTATCTCTCTCTCTCCTCTCTCCTTCTCTAATCTCTCTCTCCTCTCTCTCTATCTCTCTCTCTTATCTCTCTATCTCTCTCTCTCTCTCTCTACTCTCTTATCTCTCTCTATCTCTCTCTTCTCTCTCTCTCTCTCTCTCTCTCTATCTCTCTATCTCTCTATTCTCTATCTCTCTATCTCTCGTTCTATCTCTCTCTATCTCTCTCTAATCTCTCTCTATCTCTCTCTGATTCTCTCTATCTCTCTCTCTTCTCTCTCTCTATCTCTTCTTCTCTCTCTCTCTCTATCTCTCTTCTCTCTCTCTCTCTCTCTCTCTCTTCTCTACTCTCTCTCTCTCTCTCTCTCTCTCCTCTTCTCTCCTCTCTCTCTCTTCTCTCTCTCTCCCTCTCTCTCTCTCTCTCTCTTCTCTTCTCTCTCTCTCTCTCTTCTCTCTCTTCTCTCTCTCTTTCTCTCTCTCTCTCTCTCTCTCTCTCTCTCCATCCTTCTCTCTCTCCATCCTTCTCTCTCTCCATCCTTCTCTCTCTCCATCCTTCTCTCTCATCATACCTTCTATGCTTCCTCTTCTTCCCCGCCCTTCTCTCTCTCTCTTCTTCCCCGCCCTCTTCCTCTTCACCTCCTTCCCCCTCTCCTTCTCTCTTTATTCTACCTTCCTCCCCTTTCTCCTCTCTTCTACCTGTTCCTATTTCTGACAGCTCCATAGTCACTCGAAGCACTGGTCCCTCTCTCTCTCCTTCTTCTTTCTCTTCCCTCTCTATCTATCTTTATCCTCTCCCTCTCTTCCCCCCTCCCCCCTCCACTCTCTCCCTCATTCTCTTTCTCTCTCTCACCTTGTTCCTATTCCTTGACAGCCTCATAGCTCGAACTCGAAGCACTGAGTCACCTCTCTCTC